GGGACACTGCGAGAGAGTGGATGTTCACGGAGAGACGGGTGGCGACGGAAACCTCCAGGAAGGGATGACTGGACGAGAGAGAAGTAGGCAGTATGGCGGGCGATTAATGGCTTTAGTTACTGGCGACCCCCGGTCGTGCTCTCCTCTCCCGAGAAGCCCGTCAGTGTCTTGCAGACTGTCTTCAGACGTTTCCCATTATCAGCGGGACAGTTAACAGCCCGAATGACGGCTCCTCCGGCGTATTCGGTGGAACGGGCGATAAATTTCTCGCCCGTCGAAATTCTCGTCGCTCCCTCCGCGCGCGCGCGCGCGACGCGATAAACTTTTCGATTTCGTCATAAATTTAACCGATCTCGCAAAAGAGAGAGAGAGAGAAAGAGAGATGCGTTTTACAGAGAGATTTTTCGCCGCGCAAAATAGAGTCTTTCCCCGTCACAATGTTTGATATAATAAAGTATAATAAAGTTCGCTCGTCCGGTTTGTTTCAAACTGACGTTCGAGAGCGCGATCATTACATTTCCCTTTTCCCCCCCCCCCCGTCGGCCCTGTGTGTTTCGAGAGGTTTAATTATCACAATATTAAATTTCGATTTTGCGTTTTGCGCTCTATCGTCGACGATGTACGGAACAAGAAGAGCGCGTTAATTGCCGCGATATAATCGAACGCGACGTTAATTGCTAATTATTTCCGGAGTCAAATATCAAAACACTCGACTCGCAATATGGTTTCGAGTCGATGGGGAGGGGGGGGGAGCGGGGTTTTAAATCTAATGACGACGTTCTCCCATCCCCGTTTGGGGTTTAAAATCACGTCGAACGATTTTAATCCGCGCGCCCATCTTAATCGCGGGTGTGGCGGTCGCGCGCGTAATCGGCCCTTTAATTCCTGTAAAATCGAGGATAACGAGGGGCTTCGTCCGTTCCTACGTCCATCTATCTCGCTTTCCTTCCTCTTTTTTCTCGCTCTCTTTTCATTCGAGCTTTCTTTCTCTCTTTCTCTCTCTCTCTCTCTCTCTTTCTCTCTCCCGTTCTCGTCTCCCGGTGGAGGCTAACCCCCGGCGCCACGTTCGCGGGTGCAGGAGGCGATCGTTACACCGAAGCGTCATCAATCACCGCCGCGTCGGTTTAACTCGGCTACACGCGAGAGAGAGCCGGGGCTCGTGCACGCCGCGAACTACTTTCTTCCCCGCGCGTTCCTCTTTTTTTTTCCCCTCCTCTTTTTCGTTCCCTCGTCCTCCCTTCCATCCTCTTCTCGTCTTTTTACATTTCGTTACACGAAGGTGGAAAAAGGGGAGCGGACGGCGCGCGAAAAAAGCGACGAGATATTGCAGAAAAGCTGCAATCGTCGTTTCCCGAATTCATTCCCGTCCCGCGAAATTTTTCGTCGTTATTGGCGTCGCTTGCGCTTTCTTCGCGCGTTTCTCTCACTCTCGTGTGTATGTGTGTATGTGTGTGTATATATATATGTGTGCGTGAGCGTGTCTTCTTGGATATCGATTATCGTAGCTATGTTATTTCTCTTCCGCTCTTATAAAAACGTTCTGTTTTTCATTAGCACGTACATCGGTACGTGTATCGACACTTTGTCTCGACACGTTTGCATTGTTCGGAAAGTACGTGGAACTTTTTTTTTTTTAAATAGAAATTTAAAGACCTATCATCGCACGATGTGTAATTGAGCTTCTGCAAATACACCGTTCGATTTGGCTTTAGTATCGGCGCGATGCCTCGTGTTGTCATACGTGGCCACATTTGCCGTCTGTGTGGCCACCTATTGAAAGTTTACAAACTTTCCGAACAACTCGCGATATCACGTAACACTAACTAGCAGATAGTTTTACAGTCGATACGAGCCGATATATCGAATGCGCGCGCGCAAATATATATTTAACATATATTTGTTTAATATAGTTTTTATTATGTGTATTGTATATATTACATTATAGTTTTTTAATAATATTTTTATCCATTTGATATATTTCTTTATGTTTTTAATATAAGTTTGTCAAATATATGTTTTTTAAACGTGTAAGTTAGAATAGAAAATCGACGTCGATTCGAAAGTTCATCTAAGAGACGCTTGGTCCGCATCTCAAAAATAAATTATCCATTTTATTTCTTTTTTTTTTCCTTTCCCCTAATGATCACACAATGTCGAAGGAAGACAACGAGAAAGAGGATGGATCAATCGCTTCCTCAAATTGACAAAAAGTCAATTGAAAACAATTGGACATTATCTTGCGTAATTTCCGTGACGCTGTCAGCGGTTTAAAAAAAATCTCACGCTCGCGATGAGCCCAGTGACACCCATACGTCTCTCTCTCTCTCTCTCGGACAATTATATATGATACGTCGCGATTGTCAATTCGCGCGACGTTTCGTCGATAATTAAAAGACATCATCATCGCCTTATCTCGTCCTCGCGTATATTAAACCGAGAGCTCTCGGTTTAAGAAGAAAGAGACAATCCATCGGGATTGCATCGGGGATTTCGATTTCGTCGAGTCGTCTTTCGACGCTTTTTCACATCGCGGACAGATACTTGGTCGTTGACAGTTACGGATGGAAGCGCGCGGAATCCGTGGGGGAAACACGTGGAAAAGACGTGTAAGCGCACCACAGACCTTATCCGCGAGAGAAGAGGCTGGCGGCTTCCCGCGCCGTTTCCCGCGATATGACAAAAGCCGTAATATAGGTTGAATCATCCGGCGGCCTGTCCTGTGGGCGCGCGCGCGTGCTGTGCACCGCGTAACAACGGGGGCACACACAGTCACTCTCGTTCCATCCTCGTTGTTCCTGTCGGTTAACAATCTGACCCCCTTTCCCGCGTTTTCTCCTTTTTTTTTTTCCACCCCATCCCCTCGTGTCCTTGTAATAAATATAAAAGTACTCCGGCGGGCCAACGGCGTGTTCGTGATAGTGACGCGGCTGTTGCCTCGCTCGTCAGAAGGGGGGTTGTACGGAGGGAGAAGAGAGGCGAGCACAGATAGGGCGCCAGTATATTATTTGGCGGGGCTCCAGCCGGCCGCGAGGCTCGCCTCGGTGCTTTCATCTTAGGCACAGTCGCTCTTTCTCCTCCTCCCCCTGTCCCCCCTTGCCCCCTTTCGTTTTTTTTCCTCTATTCGTCGAACAAAAGGGCGTTGTACTAGCAAAGCGCGACGGACAGGTGAGCCGTGCTGTATCGACGACGTGCCGTTCCGGATTCTCTTGATTTTTACATTCTCTTCCGCGCTGATTTCCAGAGGCTGCATCGCGACGCGGAACAAAGCCTGAAGAGTTCCGATTCACCGTCGGGGTGTATTAGGAGAGACGCTGATGTGGTGGCAGATCGGACGGATGCTGCTGTAATCAACCGCGGGGGAAAGGCCCTCGGTGTAACTCCGAGTTCGCAATTTGATACCGAGTCGCGCTCGTTACACAAATGTTCGCTCGCAAAATTGTTTTTTTTTTTTTTTTTTTTTGGAACATTTTTGGTCGGGAAGAAGACGCTTCGCGAGTATATTTTCGATATTTTCGCGCGGTGCTACGCGTACGATGTTGCGACGTAAGTTACGTCGGAGCGCAGTTTACAGTCGGTGTAGCTATCGTCGCGTCTCGACATTGTTAATTTCGAGGAGAGAGACTCCGCCGACGTCTTGTATCGTTGTGTTTTCGCCGGGACCGACATGAAGGACGAGGGGGGAGGTAACGCGGGGGAAGAGACTTCATCGAGACCGTGTTACGTCCGGATTTCCGGGTTGCAGTCGGGGGCGATGTTAATGCACCGCGTGCAGCGTCGCACGAGCAGGTTACCCGGTTGCGCGTAGTCGGAATGCATGTGAAGCGCATAGATAACCGCGCGCGCAACGCGCGCTATGACTCGCATCGGCGGCGACGGCCCGGTGAGCAGTTCCGGAGAAGAGCGTAACAGAAAATGAAGAGAGACAGAGAGAGAGAGAGAGAAGGAGGAGGAGGAGCGTAACGTCGCTGCGTGGGAACTGGAGCACTCCCTGGCATATACGGAGAATGCTCGATGGTGAAATTGCAACGGAGTTCGAAGACGACGACGAAGAGGAGGACCCCGAGGACGCGGGTGTCGTCCTCTCCATAAATCACGGAGAACCGGTAGAGTTGCCTCTCGCACACAGTGGCGCGCACAGTAGGCGAAACGATGTCCTTTCCTTATTGTGTGCGCGTCTACCGCGTCAGTTTTACGAATCGCGTCGATCATTCGCGCGACGTCACGCAAAACGACTCGAACAAATTGATTTATATCGCACCGCCCTAGATCGATGACTAAATATCTGTTTGCGTTTGCGACTTACTCCGGAACGCACATCGGCAGAGAGTAACAGAAGGAGTGTTTCTTTTGACTTGACAATATATTTCAGCGACAAATAAAAGTTTTAACACTCTATATAAGAGAAATGCAACATATAAATATTAAACGCGATTTTGACGCCAACAATTCAATTATAGAATTTCAAATGTTCGAATTTCACATACGCGTTCCTACTATTAGAAAACAAATTATTTCAAAATTATTGTCTATTTTCTTGTAAAATTATTTATTTTTAATAACAGATTATAATTAAGCAATTGTTGCCAAAAAAATCACTTACATTAAATTGATATAAGTTCAATCAAATTAAACTTTTGTTTTGTTCGATAGTTTAAAAACATACCAGTGTGAATTAAATATTTGCATATATTATATAATAAAAACAAATGTGTTTTAGTTATAATTTAATTTTATAAATATGAAAATAAATTCGATACTCGAGCGTGTTAAAACTATTCGCGACTGAGATCAGCAACAGTCTATTAGCTACAATTTCCTTCTATTGTTATTTGAAACCCTTTGATATTCGGCCAATTAATACACAAACGTTGCCGAATAAATAGAATAATTGCCTAATAACAAACGTTGCGATTCTACTCCATGAGTGTACACGAAAGTTCTTAAACAATTCTTCAAAGTTATTAGACCCTATGGAGGAAAGGAAAGAAAAAAGACTTATATGTTTTTAAGAAATGCTCATTTATTACACGCTAGTAGGTTACAAAAGTCAGAGAGATGTAAAAACCAAAAAGAAACGCGTTCTTGTTCGCAGAAAATTAATTAACTTCGAACTAAAAAACATTGTTAACATGCGCAACAATGGTGCAAGTTCGAGCGCGGTGCAGTTTTGTTAGAAAATGAAAGTATTACGGAGATAAATCTACTCGTACATAGATAGACGTATACGTATAGACCGAATATAACGCTTGACAACAATGTAATAACGTGAAAACATTCGCTCGGCATCCGTACGACGTTAAATGCACCAACGTCGCGTCTTTGAACGCATATTTTTTTGTTTCTTTTGGTATACACGGTGAGTAAATATTCGCGCGCGAATGTTATCTTCTCGTCTAACATAATAGCACGCGCAACGATAAGTTACTGAAACAAAAACAATGGTCATCGAGTATATCTCATCAACTGTTCGTATCGGCGCCGCTACTTGTTCCAAACGTCGTACGCGAAGTTAGTCAAATCTGTAAGCGTCTCGCGAGTTCGTTATTCCGCAATTTTCAGTCTAAAGTCGCAGTTTTAAGGGTACATAGGTATCGTTTAAAAGAGCGACATAGGCTTCTAATCTGTTGACTCTTGTTGTGAGGTTCTGGGTCATCGCGTACAAAGCTGCGAGCGGGTTGGTTATGCGTTGGTCGACGCACGTTTCCAGGGCGGCGTCGCTGATGTCGGCGTGCGGCGCGTGAGCGAGACACTCGTCGATCAGCAAATCGCTGGAGCCCCAGTCGTGGACAAACCGAACGTGATTTCGGCCCAGATAATACGTCATATCGCGACGGCATCGGTACAACCACTTGTTACCGGCCAGGTAGATCAGCTTCAGTTTCGTCAGCTTCTTCAGCTGCTCGGGCGGCAAACAGTCGACCAGCTCGTTGTACGCGACGTCCCAGACTTCCAAATTCGGGAGCAGATCGTATATTCGCGAATCGATCGCAACGATTTTGTTGTTCCACACGAGGAAATTCTTGAGATACGTCAAATCCTGAATCCACGACGAGTTCAGTTTACGAATCTTGTTGTCCACAAGACCCAGCACGCGTAACTTGCCAAGACCTCGAAACGCATTAGGCTCGATCTCTTCCACGCCGGATTTCGTGATATTGAGCTCCTCCAGAGAATCACCGAGGGCCGCGAACGCATCTGTCGGTATCGTCTTGATGTCAGAGTCAACGATTTCGATGCCAACCGCATTTCCGGGTATCTGTAGCTGTAGATACGCACTGATCGATAAATGACTGTTCTCTACCGCATACGAGCAACGAAAGATCAAAGTAAGATTATCGTACAAACATTATTGTGCAAAGATAAGCGTTTTAACATCACATGTAATAATCATATTACATGATATGTGTAAACGTATATTTTATTAAAATAAAAAGAATTAAGGAAATGGCAATAACAAGCTAACACCAGATGTTCGGGTACAATTTTTTTTATAATTCTAAGATTTTAAACAAGTTTTAACAAACGTTTTAACAAGTATATTTTATTTCTGATTTTTGTCAATAAAATCGTTTAGAAAAGAGAAAGTTTGATAATAACACAATACCTCTTGAGATATATTTGTCAGACCTTCGCACCGATACCAATCCTGATGTTCTTTCAAGCCTGGTCGACAAACACCGGCCGAACACGCGGCCAGAATTGTCGCGAGAACGTACAAACCGAGAATTTGCTTCATCGCAATGAAAGTTGCGCAGTGAGTCTGACGATGAGTCAGACCGTTTCGCTTCTTATAGCCGGTTGTCAGGGTCAAGTAAAAAGCGATTAGCAATGAGGAAAAATATTGCTACAGGGAAGTACCGATGGTTAAAATCACAAAAGATTAAATATGCAAACATATTACGATATAATTTACGCGCGGAATTAAGTGTCAAGTATGCGATTTGTTTTAAAACAAACAATAATAAAAAGACAAAAAAACATTTCTTGTATTACACCGATAAAAATAGGGAACATTCTGATTTACCTTACCAAACAGATCACAAACAGAAAATATCTAGATATTACACAAATGCAGTATAAACAAAAAGATTGAATGATATGTTCGTTTTTTCATTAAAGAAAGAATACAAGGGAAGAAGACTGTTATATTGAACAGTATCAATACTAATGGAAACAATAGAATTACATTAATAAGTATTACATTACATAAGTAAAATTAGGCAGTGAAAATTGATTATAGAGAGTATATTATAGTATATTATATATAATATATATAT